AGGACAAGAATTAGTAGTTAAGGTTCCTCACTCAGTAACGGCTATTATGGAATATAGAGGACATCATTGGTTCACAAATAGCCGTATGTTAAAATATCAAACCTTATTATGTGAAAACCCTCGAATCAAGTTACAGGTTTGCAGTACATTAAATCCTGCTTCACTCCTGCCTATTGAAGGAGAATTGCTTCAACATAATTGTTTGGAAACTATGGATGAGATATATTCCAGTAGGCCTGACCTAAAAGATCAACCTTGGCCTAAGGCGGATGCCACTCTTTTTACAGATGGAAGCAGTTTTGTTGAAAATGGACAAAGGTATGCTGGATATGCTGTAGTAACTGCAACCACTGTATGGGAGGCAGAACCACTTCCTCTAAACACATCAGCTCAAAAGGCAGAACTGATAGCCCTAATTAGAGCTCTTGAATTGTCAGAAGGAAAAACAGTCAACATTTATACAGATTCAAAATATGCATTTACTACTCTGCATGCACATGGAGCTTTATATAAAGAAAAGGGACTGTTAAATTCTGCTGGGAAAGAAATACGACATAGTGAGACCATTCTGAGATTGCTAGATGCTGTCTGGATTCCTGCTAAAGTAGCAGTGATGCATTGTAAAGGACATCAATATGGCGAGGATCCTGTGACCTTTGGAAACTGGTATGCTGACACTACCGCAAAGGCCGCGGCCCGAAAGGGACGAGGACAAGAGCCGGTCATGGCCCCTTTGCAGGTAAGAGACTGGTTAAGGAAAGATGACTTGCTATATACTCCAGAAGAAGAACAATAGGCCCAGCGTGAGAAAGCTGTAAGGAAAGATGGATGGTTGGTGTTGCCTGACCAGAGGCTGTTTGTACCCAGACAGATAGCTTGGGAAATGATTAAGGAGGCACACCAAGAAACCCATATGGGAAAAACAGCTTTGGCCTCACTACTGGGATGACAACTTTACATAAATGGACTCACTGCCCTAACAGGAATAGCCTCAGCCAGATGTCATATTTGTGCTAAAAATAACCCCAGAACAGGACCAATGCCACCTCCAGGGGTTCAATATCAAGGAAATACACCTTTTGAATCTTTAGTAGTAGATTTCACTGAAATGCCAAAATGTGGGCCTCATAAGTATTTGCTTGTGTTTGTATGTACTCATTCTGGATGGCCTGAAGCATATCCAACTAGAACTGAAAAGGCAGCTGAAGTGTCAAAGGCACTTCTTAGAGACATTATCCCAAGATATGGGATTCCTTTGCACATTTGTTCAGATAATGGTCCTGCTTTTGTATCAGAAGTCTTACAGTCCTTGGTCCGACTATTGGGAACAAAATGGAAGTTACATTGTGCATATCGACCTCAGAGCTCAGGAAAAGTAGAAAGGATGAATCAAATTTTAAAAGGAAAATTATCAAAAATGTGCCAAGAGACTCACTTGCCATGGACTAGGTTACTGCCTATGGCCTTGCTACATATTAGGTGTACTCCTACTAAGTTTTTGGGCCTGTCCCCTTTTGAACTTATGTATGGAAGACCTCCCCTTGGATTGAGGCATCTTCAAGGAGATATCAATCAGTTGGGACAACAAGCATTAAAAAGGGATGTTCAAGCATTAGGGCTGGCCATAGCCCAACTTCAACAATACACTGAAGAACTAAGACCACCTTGGCCAGCTACTCCTTTACACTCTTTCCGCCCAGGGGATTCAGTGCTGATTAAGGACTGGAGAATAGAACCTTTAAGACCAAAATGGAAAGGGCCTTTTACTGTCTTGCTTTCAACTCCCACAGCTGTCAAAGTGGAAGGAATCAAAGCCTGGATCCATTACACCAGAATAAAAAAGGCACCACCTGAGTGGACTGCGACTCCTGAGCCAAAAGATCCCCTGAGACTTCATATCGTCGAACCGACAGCGCCATGAGACCCAGAAAGAGGACTACGGCTCTGGTTTTGACCACATACCTGGAAGCTGGTCAAATAAATCAGACAGAAGATTGAGGAGCACTGTGGAAGTGCCGTGTATGGGACATTCTTCAATAATTGTGATAAATGATTTTGTTTGGAATTATAATAATTGTGTTAAAAATGTTGTTTTTCTTTTCTTGCTTTAAAATAAGGATCTGACATCCTGAGTTTGCGATGCTACTGTGGAACATTCGCTCGCAAAAAGGGGGGAATGTGGTGGCCATAAGGAGAAAAATAAAATAATTATAATTTAAAATGAAAATAATGAGTAGTAAGGCTTACCTGTCCGTTCTTGAGGGTGGGAAGTAGAGATTTTGGTAGAAGAGAAATTTAACAGATGACTTAGAAAACTTTTAGGCTGGCTCTATCTTAAGTCAATATTTGAAGGAGCCAAGGCTAAAGGCTGAAGGCTGAGGTAGGAAACTTGGCTCATGAGTTAAATCGATATTATTGATTCGAAAACTAACATCTAAAGGTCATGTAGTAGTAGCGCCACCTCCTGTCTGGTTGATGAAAATAGCAGGCAATTTCATACACCTTTTTAAATGATCAACTGAGGAAAATAATGTATTGTGAAAGTAATTACAGAAGAATTAATAAGGGAAATGCTTGCTTTGAATAAATTAAAGATACATATATGAAGACATATGTATAAAGAGAAATATATGAAGTTATGATTCATTCTGAAGATTACGTAAGTCATCTGGGAACATGGCTGGTCAGCTGATGAAAGGGGAGCAGTGGAAATTATAGTATCTTGCCAACAATTGTTCTTGGCCTCGGTTCCTCGAGGACAAATTGATATTGATTAGATTGTGTAAATGTCAAGACCCATATGCGCATGTGTAAACCTGAGAATTTATGCTATAAATGCTGGAGCAAATCTGACTTCCAAGGTGTGTCAGATATTGTTTTCTGAACACCCTGTCAGGCTTGATAGAATTAAAGGTCTGGAATCAGTTGCTGTCTCCTTTCTCTTCCTTCCTGATTGTGCTCGTCTGATCTCGGGTAACGAATCTTCCGCAACACCGGCAGCAAGAAAGTAAGGTCCAACAGCGGCAAGATGGCGGCCGCGGCGCGTTCAGCGGTGGCTCGGCAGCAGCCGGCAGCTGGCAGCAGCCCAGGCGGTAACAGGGGGCTCACCAGCGGGCACCACAGCGCCAGGATCAGGCACAGATGGAACGATCCGGAGGGCGGCCGACCTCAGCAGGTAGGTTCTTTGAGATGGGAGCTGGCCGAGTTATAATGGCGGCGCTCCTTGCCTCCTCTGCCTTCCTGGCCCTTTCTCTCGGCTTCTTTCTCTCGGCTCCTTGGCTCTTTCAAGCTCTCTTTTGGTCCAACGTGACCGTAGCAAGTGCTGAACTCACCCCCTCCTCAATTTGGTGGTCAGGGAGGGAGGATTCTCTAGGATTCCCTAGGATTGTTCTTTTTTGTCAGCGCAGCTCTTTCCTAACTCTGGCTGGAAATCCCTGGTATAACATGATAGTCTACAATCTTGATATTAACTATTCCTGTATTATCCAGGCCTTAGTTGCCTTCAGGATGATACAGCATTCAGTGTAATGCTTATACTGCCCTCTACTTATGCAGAGCAAAATAGTTTCTTAGTCATCATCCACATGGGTAGAATTCATCCCAAACGAAGCATGTTTCCATCCTTTCGATTCCTTTAGGAGAATAACAACAAACCAAATTTTATTCTGTTGATAGGACTGATATTTATTTATTTAGTATCTTTATTTATACCCCGCCTTTCTCTCTGTGGGGACTCAAGGTAAGTTCCATACTAGGTAAGTTTAAAAGGTGCAATACAAAATTTAAAAAGCAATTAAACAGCTGCAGTATGAATACAATACATATACCAAAATGACATTTAAAACTCATATCCCTCTCCTCAGTGCCATCCACAGCACCCTCTGAACTATCTTAAAAACCTTCTTCTTTAAAAGCCTGCCGCATGAAGGACAGCAGGGAAGTTGCCATCCTGGCTTTCCTGGGAAGAAGGGAGTTCCAGAGTCGAGGAGAAGTCGCACTGAGAAGGCCTGCTCTCTCGTTCCCACCAACCAGGCTTGAGATGGGAGTGGGACCGAGAAAATGGCCTCTCCTGAAGATTTCAGGGCCTGGGCAGGTTCATACAAGGGGATGTGGTCGGCCAAATAGCCTGGACCTGAACTGCCTAGGGCTTTAAAGGTCATAACCAGTACTTTGAATTGCGCCCAGAAACAGACTGGCAGCTAGTGGAGCTGCTACGACAAGGAGGTTGTCTGCTCCTGTAGCCAGTCCCAGTTAGCGACTTGACTGCAGCTCTTTGGACCATCTGAAGTTTCTGAGAACTCTTCAGAAGCAGCTCCATGTAGAGCACGTTACAGTAATCTAGATGGGATGTAACTAAGGCCAGACTGGGCTTCTTAAGGAACAGGCACAGTTGGCACACAAGTTTTCATTGTGCCAAGGCCCTCCTAGCCACCGCCAAAACCCGGCCCTCTAGGTTCAGCGACAAGTCTAGGAGAACCCCCAAACTGTGGACATGTGTCTTCAGGGGTATTTATTTATTTATTTCCAACATTTCTACCCCACCTTTCTCAACCCCCGAGGGGGGACTCAGAGCAGCTTACACAGGCAACAATTCGATGCCACAATGTACCAAACAATTATAACAGATATAACAACAATTTAAAACAGTAAATAAAATAGTAAGTTGGGCTGAGAATTGCGGTATATAAGTGCAGTAAATAAATAAATAAATAAATAAATAAATAAATAAATAAAGTTAAAAACAATTTAAAACAGGGTAGCGTGACCCTATCCAGCACAGGCTGGATCCCTATTCTCTGGACTGCCTTTCAACAGACCAGGAGCACCTCTGTCTTGCCTGGATTAAGTTTCAATTTGTTTGCCCTCATCCAGGCAATAGATAGATCTAGTAGTTTAACATGAGTTAGATTAAACCTTATATTGGTTAAGATTGCTGTGTTACCAGACCCAAGGAAGTATCTGGAAGCTTTAGGCAGGTATTGACTATAACATAATGTACCACAGAATGTACCCTACATAACAGCGGCTGCGTGGGCAAAACAAAACAAACACAATACCCCCCCCCCCCCACACACACACACACTTCCTGTGAGTTCAAAGTTGCTGATTAAACAAGCAAAATAGCTTAGAATAGTACATAGTGTCCAATGCATCTGTCAGCAGTTCTTTTTGGGAAAGCTCCATGGATATTTGTGAATGGATGCCACGTATCTCCAGAGGAATGTTACAGCATCAGAGACATTCCTGTGATGAATCAGTATTAGAACAGCTCTTTAAAAAACTTTTATGTACGATTTGTGGAAATTGTACTGAGTTGTACTATTTTAATATGTAATGAGTTGTATTTGCTGTTTTATATGATTGTATTTGATATGCACTGTAAACCGACCTGAGTCCCTCGTCGAGGTTGAGAAGGCCGGTATAGAAATCTTCTAAATAAATAAAAATAAATAAATAAATAAAATCTTTGTAAAGCAAAGAGCATCCTGCAGAAGATGTGACGATCAAACCTTTGTCTGGCTTTTGGTCTTCTGCAGAGAATGAATGGAACCCATTTTGAGATCTTGTGACCTAGTGTGCTTTTCAAAATTTATCAGCTAATGAATTTGCAGCGTCCCCTGAATAGTTCGGACTCCTATATCTTCACAGGCCTATGGTGTTCCATTTTGAAGAGTAAAATCTGTATTCTGATTAAATCAAAAGTCTCTTTGATTTAAATAATGGAGTACAACAATCATACATCAATGTATTAGTAAATAAATAGGAATATTATTTAAATATTTGGGTATTCAGATATTTCTATTATCTTATTCACAAACTCAGAGTTGGCATTACTGAGTAACTTATTGAAGTTTGCAACTCACTGTAGAGTGTGTGTGTGTGTGTGTGTGTGTGTTTGTTACTATTCAAACCTGTTTGTCCTTTCATTTCTTCACCTGTGTGTTGTGGCCTATTTCCCTATTATCCTATGTTTAGACATATGAATAGTAACAATGGTCAAAGAACATGTAATTATTTGAGTATTAGACTAAGATTCCAGGAAACCCAAGCACTGAATCTCTGCTGAGTCATAAAAAAACCTCACTGGTAGGCCTGGGTAACAACGGAAAAATTTGTTTCTAAAATCGATTCGTTTTTTGGGGGTTTTTGCGTTTTGTTATTTAAAATAATTACAAAATTTTCCTTTTAAAAAGTTCGATATTTACGAAATTTCGTAAATGTGAAAAAAATTACAAAACATTAACAAATTGATTTACGAAACAATAACGAATCGATTCGTTAATGGCGGACGCGACCGCGAAATACGCTAAAAAACCTCCAAAAACTTCTGAAGCTTCCCTCTCCCTCTGTTGTTGACTGTTGGTGTGATATTATAATTTTTTTTCACTAATTAAACAAAAAACAACCATAAAACTTGCCCCAGACATGCGGAAATAATAACGAAACGACCTCAAAACAATAACGAAACGAATATAATAACGAAATATGAAGCATTTACAAAACTATTTAAAAATTCGTTTTTTAAAAAACTTGCTCCAGAATGGTTCGTTATCGTTTTGTAATTAAAAAAATTAACGAATTATTAACGAATTACGAATTAATGAAACGAAACCGCCCAGCCCTACTCACTGGATTACCTTGATCAAGTAACACTGTCTCAGTTTCAAAGGAAGGTGATGGCAAGCCTTGAAATAAATCTTTTCGAGAAACCTCAATAATGGGATTGCCATATACTGGAGTCAATTTTAAGCACATAGCAGCAAAAGCAACATGCGTTGGCCTTGCCCTCTTGTTCTGGGTGTTATCGCAAAATGGATCCCTTCCTGAAGTACGAACCCAATATGATTAAAATGTATTATTATTATTATTATTATTATTATTATTATTATTATTATTATTCTTTTACTGACACAAA